ATCTGGACGGCCTTTTGTGCAGGCCAGCAACTAAAAAGGCACTGCCAGGAAAACATGTTAGCGCCGGCACAGACACAATGGGCCGAATGGCTTCCTTCTGTGCTGTATAATTCTATGAATCTATGATACAATCTGCTGGTATAGAGGTTAACGGGTAGGAATGTGTTTGAGCTGTCAGTAGGAGGATGGTGGCAATGTGAGGGCTCAAACTTGAGTTTGTGAGATGTCAAATTACCAACTAGTAGCGAGAATCCTTGCATTTGATTTGCGCCTTATCACATCTTTGAGACATCTCAAAGAGCTTCACAGAATATATAGTGTAGTGACTGTATATTTTGTGGGCGAAACACGGCAGCCAATTGTGCATAGCAGTGTCCCACAAACAGTGTGTTGAATGACCTAATTATTATTTTATTATTTACTAATTTTTTGAAGGAATTATTGCTCCCAGAAAAGCAATCCACCAATCGACAAACAACCGGGTTCCAACTTATTGTAAACAGGGGCATGTGGAATAACGAGACTTGCCCAAAGCTTTGCCCTTCCCGGAAATCAAACCAGGTCTCTTGCTTGCGAGGCGAGTGCTCCAACCATTAAGCTGCATTATTATTAATAATAATCCTTACATTTGATATAGCGCTTTTCACGTCTTCTATATGTCTCAAAGCGGTTCACAGAATATGCTGTAAAGTGAATTGACTGTATATTTGTGAGCTATCCTCCTTGGGGGGTGGGAGGTTGTAAGCAAGATCTCCTTGGGGCTGAGCTAGCTCTAAGGTGACGTACTAGGCAACACGATGACAGAATTGAGTCAATCCTCTGTCAGTCTTGGTAGTCCAGGTCCTAAGCCAGGTGGGTTTGTAGTACTCCAAGGCTGGTAATAGACCAGCCAGGTGCTTCATTGGCAGTACTTGGAGAAGCAGATTGACAAGGAACAGGGATTCATTACACACAGCTCCTGTTTACCCTGCAAGCCCAAACCCTAACAGTTAGCGTGCTACTCCCTGGACAAACAACAAGAAGCTTGCAAGACAGTGCTCATAACAATAACCTCTGCATTTGAAATAGCACGTTATTATGTTGAAGCATCTCAAAGTACTTTACAGGATTTTACTGTTAAGTGCAGTGATTGTGTATGGCAAACTATGCAGTTTGGGGTCTTCAACCGGACTCTCGTCAACCTGTACTTTATGCTGTCCACGATTAGACAAGCAGATGCATCCCTCCTGGGAACACGTGTGTTTTTGGAATAGGCTGTGCTAACTCACACGACTTAGTCTGGCCTGTAATCAGCGATATCATTATCACCGGTAAGAGTAAAAAAAAATCCTCTCCACAGGTAAATTCTTAGTTAAAATAATCCTTGCATTTGTTAAGGTCCCTTATCACGTTGTTGAGACATCTCAAAGTGCTTCACAGAATATGCTGAAAAGTGAATTGTCTGTATATCTTGTGGGCGAAACGTGGTAGCCAATTGCGCACAGCAGTGTCCCACAAACAGTCGTGGATTGAGTGACTAAATTATCATTACTTATTTATGGTTCTATCTAAATCTTGCCTTTATATACAAAAAACATACTATTTAATTAGCTCAAGTACATTTTGACCATGGGTTATTTTCTACCAGATCAGAGCAAAATACCCATTTTTTAAATCTTATTCATGTGAGTAGTACAAGGTTGTTAATTATGTGGAAGTCTTCCTCTATGTTATGTAATAGTATCTTATTATGTTATTACCCCATTTCAAAGTGCTTCACAAGAATTATTGTCAAATGGAGTGAGTAAGCAAACGTACCAATTGCACACAGCAATGTCCCACAAACAGCCATGAAATGAGTGACTAATTTTATTTGGGGGATTGTTGACCAGGACACCGGGAGAGAGAAACTCCCTTCTGTTGAAATAACGCCATGGGATCTTTAATGTTCACCTGAACATGAAGACGGGGCCCTTGGTTTAATGTCTCATCTGAAAGACGGTGTCTCTGACAATGCAACACGTCTCCAGCCTTAAATTGGAGTGTCATCTTAGATTTGAACCCACAATCTTCTGATTCAGAAGCGAGAGTGATATTAGTCATATTAAATATGTATATCAAAGCCTATTGGACCATAGGGCAGCAATTACGCATGCCAAGTACCATCCTTAATTACTTAGTCCTTAATCTCTAGTAATAGGAGTCCAGTCATTTAAAGCTGAACAAAAATCTTCAAAAGATATCCATTGACATTGATGCTCCCAATTTCTCCTTCCCAGCCCATTCCCCTGGAAATGACAAGTGGCACAAAATTGGTAGTCATTTTTAAGGGGATAAAAATGCTGGTGGGACCCTCGGAGATGTGTACAGTTGTTACCTTCTCTGTCAGCATGATTAATTTTAAATGAAAATTGGAGTATTGGACTTAAAATCCATTGAATGTAGTTCAACTCCTAATTTAATTCTAGTGGTAATCTCTATTCATCAAAGTGTGTCCTTGTTTGATGAGTGCTAAGGCCACTTAATTAATAACATTCAGAAAAGCAGTGCTGACCTCTCACTATCCTACACTTGCAGCTTTAATCACCAAAGGAATTTTCAAAAGGTAGAGACACAATGCCTGGGATCAAGGTTATTTAGCTGGGTTTGTGATTAATTTCCATGTCACCCGCGGTCTTCAATGAAAGGCAGTGAGGCTCCTGCTTTTTGTGTGTTTCCGTTTCCAATTGATGAAACTTGTCTCATTAATACAAACTCGCAGAACCAGCAATGTAGCAGGACTCAGGAGGTCAGTCATATCAAGGGCTGAGCTCCTTGCGTGTCTATTAGTGAAGCATCCAGCAGTACCTAGGAAAACAATGTTTATAATAAGTTGTTCCTACCACAGATAAAGTCTGAAACCTGAACTGCAAATAGTTGTACTTTAATAAGTGTGGTACAGTTATAATACACACTTGCAAGCAGTGGTTTACAAAGCCGCATCTTGTTCATGGATACACCTTTCAAGAAGCCACAAAAAACTGGGGTGCAGCGGGTTATATAGTTAGACTTCACTCGACAGGAAGTTTTGGTGTGCATGCTCAACATCGTACAAAGGCTATTTCCAGCAATCTGCTATGCCAAAAAACATGAGAGAATCAACACTAGCATCAGTCTGGTAATTCAATAATAACCCTCAGATACTACATCTCTACCCTTAAACCCCCATCACATATCCCCAGTTGTGATCAGAGTATTAGTATAAGCAATTTTTAAAAAGAAACAAAAAATGCTAAAGAATGAAGAGTATTTGTCAAGGAGTTAAAGACAGTAATTTGATCTCTGAATTTTGCTTTATTTTGATTTTGTTGATAACAGGTCATCTTTAGTGAATGAGCTCCTTGTAATGCACTGAAAATTCATTTTGTCTTGGTACAGTCTAGGTCTCACCAGACTCCTGTTGCCAAATGCACAAGTGCAGCTTCTAAACCTCCATTAAACCTGCTCCTTACTCAGTTGCTTAGAAGGAACACCACTGTGCCTTTGAGGTGATGGGAACATTTCACACCAATCATAGCACCATGCTCATAAAATGCTCCTCGGTATTCTTCAATAGTTTGGAAAACAAATGTTATTCCAACAAGTGAACATTTGAAGCTGTTTTTTAAGTGCAATCTTTTTCCTTATTCTTTTTGGTAAGTGTAGGAACTGAAGACTTGTCTTTAGTTATTACTTTTGCACAAAAGGTCGAGCTACAGCATTGAGTTCTGGTCTAGAATACTAGTTAATGCCCATGCTAATAATTAATATCACATTATCGAATACTTATTAGGGAAACCAGGTTCCCATCGACCCCAACACACCTTACACATTCATGCTTCCAGGTTGTTTAAAAACAAACAGCAGCGATCCGTTCCTCAGATCACTTTACTTAAGTGCCATCACACTTGCTATATGAACTTTCAAACATCCTAAGGCAAGTCTACAAACTGGATAACTTCACAAAACAGAATTGACTAAAGATATATTTGCACACTGTACAACAGCCAAGATACAATGTAGGAAATGACAACGTGAGATTTCATCTTTTCCTAACATCTAAAACCGGTAACCTATTTACTCAAGATATCTATAGAGTTACAGCCTATGAAGGAATTGGCATAAAATCTTCTACGCTAGCAGATTAAAAGTACAGTGGCCCAGACCAGGACAGGCTTGCATAATATTTTGTGTCATTTATCCACCAAGATATACTGAGACAGAAGAATCAGCCTTCAACAAATGCACCAATATTAAGGAATTAAGGGACCTTTACATCAACTCCTGTAACACCGTTACAAAATTAATCTATTTTGAAAGCTAAAGCTGGTGTATGTTGGCAATTCAAATTGCCACATTTCACAGCATTTAATTTGAACCTGACCAAGAAAGTGTTGTGCTCTGTACAACCAACTTCAAAATATCTTCAACCTCTCGTTCGTCAACAATTCAACCTTTGTCTGACTTCATAACCCATCGCTTAGCTACTAGCTCTAAGGCCTTTACAGTGAGTGACACTGTAAACAAAAGTTTTAATTGGAACTCAACATCTCTGTACTTGCCCTGCAACCAAAAGTTAGTCTCTGAGTCATCAAAATCTCAACCTTCTGAAACATTTGTCACCCATTCTTCCTCCGCTCCAATGCACTCCTAGATGGAGCACTATATGAAGACACAGCACTCCATCTGAAGCGCAGAGGGACCTGCCCTGCCTGTACCTAATGTTAAATGGTCACCAAGATCCACGGACATCTGTAATGGATAAGGCTAAATCTCATCTTATTCCACTTTCCTTGTTTGGAGCATGTAAGATAGCAGGTATGGAGCAAAACAGAACACTACAAAGTAGGTTTTAACTTCTACTTATATTCAGGTATATTTTACCCTCCATCCCACTTTAGATGTTATGCAAATAAATATCTTCCAATGCCAACTCAAGCCCTGAATGCAGTTTCTGATGGCAATTTATCTTGGCGGCAAACACAGAAACTGAAGATCACAACGACATTATCAAACAAACATTTTATTAGCATCTAAAAACAGAATGCACCCAACATTCAAATGATTTTTTTTTCAGCCATTACTCACTGCAGTACTAGGAACAAATCACAAACATTTATTCTGGGGATTAACAGAGACCAGACTGTAAGAGGCTTTTAAAATCTTTTTTTTTTACAAAACAAAGTATTACAATTTTTTTTCTACCCCTCAGTACTGCACTGCTCACTGTGAATGGGCTAGGCGCTTGATGTTAACAGGATAAAACACAAAACAATAACTGGTTCTCATAAAAGCATTAAATTTAAATACAGTAGCAGCTTCAGAGGATGGAAAAATGCAGGCTAGGGCCCACTAGTTTTTCAAGTATACTATAACCGCTCGTATTCCATCTCAGCTGTAACAGCTACAAGTTTACCTTTCTTCCATAGGAAGGTCAATTTTTAATTTTTTTTTGTTTTGTTTTTTTGGCAAGCTGTTATAATCTTTCTCAAATTAAAAGAAATGTGGGAAATCTGGCCTCTAAAGCATGGAAAAAAAATGTTGTTACCTACCGTGTTCAACTAAAGAACAACAGTCTGTACAGGTCAGTTGTACACATTAACTTCAGTTATTAGAGTGAAAGACGTACATCGGATTAAATTCTGTCCTGCAGACAACAGTGACTTCCCAAGTTCCAGTCAACCATTTTGTCCGCTCCGTTGCAGAGATGACCAGCGACACAGAATAAAATTAGACCGTGTGACAATTATGTCTCCTCGTTATCTTTGTTTTCTGTCACAGGTGGATTCTCCAAATCGTTCTTCTCCTGGCTTTCATCTGTGGGAGAGTCCAGCTTCGCGGGCAGTTCTGGGACATTATTTTCAATCTCCTCGTTTGGTGGCTGGCTGTCTGTTTCTGAGAAATCACCGTTTACCCGAGGCCTATCGTCAGGCTTTTGGTGTTCAGTGGTCCCCTGAAAATAGTCAAACCTTTGGCGAGGAGGAACCCAATGGTCTTGCTCTCTGTCTCTCCCAAAGCGGCTGCCGTTCACGTCTCGGCGGAAGGCGAAGTCCCGGTCGTCGCGATCCCTCTGCCGTTCCCAAGGCCGGCTCCGGTCATCAAAATCTCTATGTGCCTCCTGGTCAAAGCCTCGGTTCCACATAGGACCACTTCTTCCGTCAAATCGGAAATTTCTTCCACCGTACCGATCATGATCGTCATGAAAAACTTTGGGGCCCCCAAATGGCATGCCCCGGCGCTCTCGCTCATCAAAATCTCTTGAGCCCCATCGATGGTCGTGACCGTAGCCAAATTGATCCCGTCTTCCAACACCATCCCTACCTTCAACAGGCGGAAAGCGATAATCCCGGTCACCTTCTTGTTGCATACTGTCTCTCTGAAAGTTACTGCTCTCGTTTCCAGCAGATCGCCTTTCGTCCCCTGGAGCTTGGTTTGTGTTTGTACCGCTGTCAACACTGGGTACTCCAGATCTCACAAAGGCTCCTTCAGGCCGACTGAAAGGGCTTCCTGGGAGAAAGGAACCTCTGGGCCCTGACTGAAGAGCTCCATCAATTGCTAATGATGGAGGCATGTTTGGCTGAGGAGGCATCAACAATGGGAACCGCTGCCCAGGTGAGGGTGGCATCATTCCTGAGCGCATATCCAGTGGAAGCCCACCAGGCATCCTCGGTCCAGGCATATTTGGTGGAGGCAAACTCTGAGGTCCTTGTCCAGGTGTTGATGGCTGCATCCCCAGGGCAGGTCCACTTGATGCTGCACTTTGATTTCCTGCAGCAGTAAGAAATGTCAATATCTTACAGTCAGAGCTGTATGTTGTCACATCCTTTAACTCAACCACAGTAACCAAATGTTCAACAAAGAACGTACAAATGCTTACAACAGCAACTTCTCTGTTATATTTCTATTACCCATAACTATAAATAAAATAACAATCATTGCATTTGATATAGAACCTTATCACTTCTTTGAGACGTCTCAAAGCACTTCGCAGAATATACTGTAAAGTGAACTGACTGTATATTTTGTTGGGGGCGAAATGCGGCAGCCAATTGTACACAGCAGTGACCCACAAACAGTCGTGGGACCCAATCATTGAGAGTTCCTCCTTACTGCTAGGGAAACAAGAGGTGTGTGGAGTAAGGAAACTTGCCTAAGGTTTCGCCCTTATACTTTAACACTCTGGATCAAAGGCACACATCATTCATTCCTTGTGACTTCATCCTGAAAGAACTGATGAGATTGGTACCTTGGGTGTATGAAATCTCAGACACAAGTCTGTGCTTTTATTCTGTTCCACAACAAAATGAACTAATCACCAGTTTACATTGCTTATGCATTTCTTTTTCATAAAACTCAAAATATTAAATAGAGTAAACTCCAGCTAACTCGTCACTGCAATGGAAAGGGACTCAGTGCTGAGTTATCCAGTGTGGCAAGTTAGTTAGCAATGTGCGTAAATGTATTTTGACAAAATGCGGCTGGGACATTTACAGCACGATGACATAAGTGCTATTGACAAGTAAAGTCATGATCAAGTTATCAGGAATTTATTGTATATCAACATATTTATAGCTTATAGTATGATTCCCTCCCTCAAATAAAGCAGAATGTGAGTAAGTGAGAATTAATTAGGTTGTACTGAAAGAACATTAAATAACAATGTGCACTTATAAAGAACCTTTCACATCTCAACATGCTTCACAGAGACAAAGGGAGAACTGAGCAAGGAGAAGAGAAAGAATAAGAGGGCTAACAAAATGCAGTCATCATCAGCATACATGTAAACACTAAATTCCAACATGCAAAGGCAAGCAAACAGATAAGGAACAGACAAGGCCTAAGGATAAGGTCACTCTACAAAGATGGGGTGACAAGCTGTTTCAGAAAATCTAGTCAAGATGTTGGGACAGAACCAAGAAAGTGCAGGATCATTGAAGTGCACCAATAAAGAGAGTCATTGAAGCAGAATGGAATGACTGATGGTGTCAAACGTAGCAGGAAGATCATGAACAAGGAGGGTCTGTGTGTGAGTTCTGATCACAGACAGATAGGATTCCATGATCGACTTGAACCAGATTGGTCTCAGGGCTGTGGGTGGGTTTTGAGCAGTGAATAGTGTTGGGAACATACATGGGAACTTGTTTGAGTCTACAACATGTTCCAGCCACTGAGTTGGAGACATTGATTTTGGACATGAGTGAAAAAAAAGTTTAGGATTTTCCATTGCCCCCAGGTCACGTGAGGTCAGAATGAAACACTCACTAGAAGATTTTTTTAAAAATTGAGTGAAATTTAACAAAAGGAATTCCAATATAGCGCCATTCAATACTTCACACAGACTAACATACAGGGTATCTCCGTTAGACTGTGGTTTTCTGGGTCCAATCTCTGAGCATATCTATACACCATGTGAAAAATGGAACTTGAGAAATGGCTAATCTCTGGGGAATTAGGTCAGCACTCTTGTGCGTGGGAAGCCAGCTGATCAGATGTACAATGGAGGGGTGAGGGAGATGTTAAAGCAGCAATGTCCCACAAACAGGCATGGATTGAGTGACCAAATTATTATTATTTTTGTATTCTTGTTTTGGAAGGGATTATTAATCCCAGAATAGCAATCCGCCAATCTACTAACAACCGGCTTCTTACTTACTGCTAGGTAAACAGAGGCATGTCGAATAAGGAAAGTTGCCCAACATTTCGCCCTGCCCAGGAATCGAACCCTCGTCCTCTTGCTTGTGAGGCGAGTGCCCTAACCACTAAGGCACAGGACTCCACAGAATTGCCCTGTATTTTTGTAACTAAGAAAATTTACTGCAAACCTGAACCAATAATTAAGTACCAAGACTCAATACTTCAAATTGATTGTGAAGGCAATGTACTACATTTTCTAATTAAATACCTGAGCAGTAGTAACGCTTATTTGAAAATAAGCTCAAAACATACGCCTATGTTCACAAATATAGCGCACAAAAAGATCTTGCTTAAACATTGTAAATAAAGGGGTTCAAAGTCAGACTCCACCAGCAAATAAAAAAAATTCAATTTTGTGGTCAAACAATATGCTTTGTCTTGCAGATGAATTCACATTCTAAAATACCCTTCATCCCAGAAACTGAGAATTTCCAAAGCAAGAAAAAGTTCACAGTTATAGTCAATCAGAAGATAAATGCAGAGAATATGTTCTAAAAAAAACAACTGGTTAACATTTGCAGGAACCGAACAGACACCATCCAACTGAGTTTGCATACCTGGTCCAGTTGTAGACACAGTTTCAGATGAAGAAGTCTGGTTGACTGTACGTGAAGCTCCCAGATCATTTGATCCGACAAGACCAGCTGGGGGAGCCTGGGAGCCAACTTGATTAAACATGCTCCCTGGTTGAATAACGGGACTCGTAAGGCTACTGGGTCCAGAGCCTATGTGAGAAAGCAGGTTCCCGAAAGGAGAATCCTTTGCACCATCTTGGGTGGTGGAGAGGGACGGGTGACCTAGAGCTAGAGGACAGTAAATATTTTAGACAGTTAATGGTTTTCACACAAATCCAGAGCCTGTGCATTTTGACCAATGAAATCAATGTGCCAACAATACTAATCGGTTCATCTTTAATGAACTAAGTCAGAAGAATTAGAGTAACCTTAAAGCAAACAGGTCAATTATACTTACAACTCTGTACTGCTGGTATAGAAGGAACAACAGCTGGAAGTGGAACAACTGGTGGTGGCAGATATCCTACACGTACGATTAAAAACAGTGAGATTTTCAAAAATACAAAGCATTGCAATTGAACCTGGTCTGACTAATTGAACACAAGTTATACTTAATTGTAAAACAAGTTGCAATATTTATGATAGAGATTATGCACTCAGGGGTCTAATCTATGTGAATTTTTCAGCATTCCAAGACAGTTGGAAACAGGAGTTGGCCGTTCAACCCCTTGAGCCTGTTTCGCCATTCTATAAGATCATGGCTGATCTGTACCTCAAGTCCAATTACCTGCCCTTGCCCTGTATCCCCTGATTCCCTGATCTAACGTGGAGTCCTGTAGCTCAGTGGTTAGAGCACTCGCTTTGCAAGCGAGAGACCTGAGTTCAATTCCAGGCAGAGGGCGAAACCTTGGGCAAGTTTCCTTACTCCACACGCCTAATAATAATCCCTCCAAAACCAAAAACAATAATAAATTGGTCATTTTCAATCCATGACTGTTTGTGGGACATTGCTGTGCAAATATACAGTCAATTCACTTTACAGTATATTCTGTGAAGCGCTTTGGGACGTCCTCCTGACGTGAAAAGCGCTATATCAAATGCAAGGATTATTATTATTATTTTATTAACAAATATCTATCCACCACAGTCTTGAAAATGTGAACAGATCCAGCATCCAGCATGTTCCCTTGTCAGTTCTAAAACATATTGTTCCAGAAAATTGTCCTGAATACATTCTAGAGATTTGTTGCTTTGCCTACTTGAGCTATTCTGCTACTCCCAGTCTATGGGAAACTTACACACGTGAAGGGCACTATGTGAATTCAAGTTGTTTAATTCAATCAATCAAATTTCAGGTTTAGTGTTTTAGCTTTGTTCAAAGCAAATAGTACTGAATTAAGATGACAGAATAATATAGTTGCTCAATGCCCATATTTTTCTCAAATACAATGCACTTCATAATTTAGGATACAGAAGGACGATGTTCTTAACTGTTTTTGTACTGTAGTGATGTGCTCACTTACTAAAACAAATTATAGTGAGGAAACAAAACTCAGGCACAAAACAATTTATTTTGCACTAGATTGTGAGAAAACTATACAGAGGAGTGAAAAAAAATTTCATACCTGGAGGAGGTTGTGAAGGGTTAAAACCAGGCCGTAAGAATGGAGGTGGTGGAATAGCGGGGTTGAAGCCTGGTGGAGGTATAGACATCGACAGAGGAAAGGTTGGTGGCTGGACTATACCAACACCTGAAACCGTTGGAACCACTGGAATCTGAAAACGAATAATCACACTTCAAGTCTCCAAACAAAAACAATCACGTTCTGTCCCATTCAAGTTCTGACAACAAGTAGAAACTCAATGAAGCTTCACAACTCGTGAGGGTGATAAAACAAAAGGCAAAATATTGCAGATGCTGGAAATCGGAAATAAAATTAGAAGTCGCTGGGAATACTCAGCAGATCAGGCAGCATCTATGAAGAGAGGAAAGTGAGTCAATGTTTCAGGTTGAAAGGTCATCAACCCGAAAAGTTGACTCACTTTTCTCTCTCCATAGATGCTGCATGACCTGCTGAGTGCTCCCAGTGATTTCTATTTTTCTTTCGTGAGGGTGATTATTGGAACTTAACACAAGTAGAATACATGCCAAGCACATCCTCCTCAAAACATACTTTGCACATAGCTGCTTTCAACTTTTGCAAGTAACCATCTTGCAATTTAACAAATACACAATACTTTTACCTGAGCCATGCACAGAATACCAAATTAAAATACAAGATGCCATCTTTAATAAGGAAGTGTGGGATGAGATGGTAGAGTTAGGCAATTAAATGGTACTTCAATAGTTCAAAATGAGTCTAAATAATAATAAGTGTAATAATACCTAAAAGAAATACTGTTGGTCACTCGATTGTTTTTGGGACACTGCTGTGCACAATTGACTGCCACGTTTCACCCACAAATTATACAGTCAATTCACTTTATATTCTGTGAAGCGCTTTGAAGACGTGATAAAGCTCTATATCAAATGCAAGGATTATTATTATTACTACTAAACATAATTACCTGGACAGGCAGCATAGTAACAGGCTGAGTGAATGCCTCAGCTTGGGATGTTGGCTGAGTATTACCATCAGTAGCTGAAGTTTGGGGCACATTTTCATTTGCAGACGTGGATTTCCTAGATTTCCACTCTGAAATACAAGGATGTGATGTTATTATCAATGACAGATTACAGTCTGTTGCAGTAGACTGCTTTACATCTTTGGCTAATTCAAATATTCAGAAAAATAGATATTTTGTAATTGAAAATGTAAAAGCTCATCTATATTGTGTGATATTCTTTAGGACTCCTTTTATAGTCCTTTAACTTGCACTTTATCATGCTCAAGTCCTGGCTTCAATAATGTGACTGAATATCAGCAATTAGAATTTTAAACAACAAGATTAAACATTCATTTATTACAATGAATACTGTAGTAAATCACAAAAAACTACTAATACTCTTGGAAAAGACCAATTTTCCACTATTACTACTATTGGGAGTAGTTTCCAGCACTGTATAACACCCAAGAGCAAAAATCTTAGTTGATTTCCCCCCTACTTTTCTGATCCACTCAGGCCATTATAGTGTCTGAACTGCTGCCACAGCTGATATACTAGGAATAGAACTTGTGATATTCTATAGAAACAGGAGTAGGCTATTCAGCCCCTCTAGCCTGTTCCGCCATTCTATTAGATCATGGCTGATCTGTTCCTCAAGTCCAATTACCCACCATTTGCCCCTACACCTCGATACCCTGTCCCAACAAATACCCATCCACCTTAGACTTGAAGATATGAATGGATTCAGCATCCATAGCCTTTTCGGGGAGAGAGTTCCAGATTTCCACTACCCTTTGCGTGAAAAACTGCCTTATTATTCTGTTCCTAGTGTTACAATAGATGGTGCCTTTATCTACTAGGGCACAGAGTGGCTTGGAATGTCCTCCGATGAAAAGTGCTACATAAACGTAAATTTGTACTGTAATGCAGAAATGTTTTAAGTTATTAAAACGCCAGGTTACAGCAATGTCACAAACCCTTTGGACCTTTATCTAGATACAAATTGAAAGAGAAAGCACAGTGTTCATAATTAGTACATATCACAAAACAGATTCATTGTTTTATTTTATTTCGGAGTATTATACAACAAATATAGATGTAAAATTGACAGAGTGGCCTCTTAAATTAAAACAAACACATGTGAAGGATGAAAAAACAAAGAATACACAAACAAGTTGCTGTGTTTCAACACAATTAAAAACAACACACATCAAAGGGCACCAGCCGTGATGAGGAAATAATGATCACATACCACTATTCACAGTTTCTTGGTCGATCATTCCTCCTTCTGAGAATCCTACCAAATCATCTAATTTTACTTTTTCCCATGGAATATATGTGACACCAAGGTCGACATCCCAGAACTGCTTATACTCAGGTTTCACACCTTTGTTCAAAGCCCAAGCAATCTGCACAGAAAATGTAGATTAAGTATTGAGATGGAATAGAAAAAATAATCACTGCTATGTTTTGTTTTTCATTTACTAAATGAACATATTAGTAAGATTGCATTAGTAATGCTCCTGCTCATTAGTAATGCAATCTTACAAAATAACACCAAAACTAGAACAACATTATGCTGATCAAAAAATAAACCCCTGCTCAAGAATATATAAACTCCTGCTCAAGAATATATAAACTCCTGCTAGAAAATATATAAACTCCTGCTCGAGAATATATAAATTCCTGCTCAAGAATATATAAACTCCTGCTAGAGAATATATAAACTCCTGCTCAAGAATATATAAACCGCTGCTCAAGAATATTTTGATCATCCCCAAAATAACATAATGACTAAATTTGGCAATTACAAATGTTTAAAATATATATTTTTTTAAAAATCTAGAATTATGCTTACCCCGTTCCAAAATTTATGTTGTTTCTTTCAAGCGTCATTCACTTCGCTTCCTTCTCCCCTCCCCTTCCTTCTATTCTGGTTTCTGGTCAATTTACCAGTTATACCAGTTTCAATACTAATTTTGATCAGATATCAGGAAGTCCGTGACAGAATCCCTGGCTGGGTTTATCGTTCTCTGAGGAGCCTTGACCCAGACTTTGCTCAGTGCTTCTTCATAATGCCTCATCTTGATCTCCATGCACAACCCCATATCATTCATTCCATAGTGCAACATTCACGTAATGCACTAGTAAGCATCAAACGTTCACTTGTTCATTACCCAGTCATGATTGCTTGTTATTCCCAATAAATATTTAATGTTCAAATCCAGCTGACAAGATATTAGGACCCGGAATTCATTTGGTTTATTTATGAGATAAGACTTCTTGTGCTTGATATATACAGGAAGTTCCAGTTCTGGTTAATTTGGAACTCAAGCTTACCTTAATAATTTTGGACCCCATTTTAAATGATCCAGTGCTTAATTCCTGAAGAGTATTATGAGCATCTTGTCGATGAACCATGGAAACATATGCACATCCACGAGGAGGTATCATCTACAGGAGATGTACAATTAACATTGAAAACAATAATAATAATCCTTGCATTTGAAATTCCGCTTTATCACGTCTTCAAGAGCCTCAAAGCGCTTCATAGAATATACTGCAAAGGGAATTTATTGTACATTTTGTGGGCGAAAACTGCAAATTGTACCCATCTTTTACTCAAATGCATTGAGGACGTTGTTCATGACGAGGAGCTACCCAATACTAAAGTGCAGTACATGGATTACAACTGACCACACACATCAAAAAGTCGAGTGAAATACAGAAATTCAAATTAATTGCTTTTTATTACAGAGAGCACCTGATTCAGTCACAACATAACTCCAAGCAGGCAACTTCTACAATTATTTTATGATCAGTGTTGGATACACCATGACAAACTAAGGAGCCATTATTTCAAGATGTTTTATTTTTTCAAAGCAAAGAATTCAAGTGCTAAGAAACAAATATCTGACTTCTTTAATAACTCATTCTTTATCGGAACCAATAAAGAATTAAAGCTATTATTAAAGAGAAAAGGTAGAGAAACCAAATTAAAAAATCTGCTATGATCTAAAACGTGTAGAACAAGCTTAATGGCTGACTAGAGAACAATAATTAGATTTGTACCCAGAAACAAGCAGATTCGATACTGATTTTAATGTTAAATTAAATAATAATCCTTGCATTTGATATTTTCGAGATGTTTAAAAGCGCTTCACTGTAAGGTGAATTGACTGTATATTTTGTGAGCGAATTGCGGCAGCCAATTGCGCACAGAAGTGTCCTACAAACAGTCGTGGATTGAGTGACCAAATTATTATTTTATTACTTTTTTTTGGAAGTGATTATTATCCCTGGGAAAGCAATCTGCCAATCGACTAACAACTGGGTTCCTACTTACTGTTAGGTGAACCGAGGTTTGTGGAGTAAGGAAATTTACCCAACGTTTTGTCCTGCCCAAGAATCGAACCCAGGTTCTCCCACTTGCGAAGCAAACATTCAAACCACTAAGCTACAAGACTCCAGATGCTCTATTTTCTAAACTTGTTTTAACACAGAAAGTTCCACAGAATATCTAAGTGCTATGTAATAATATTCTTGCATTCTTTTCTATGGCAGAAAATTTTGATTAAGAAGAATCACTTTATTTGCCAATGAAGTTTTAGATATACCATAATAATTGGGGTCGTGTTATACACTGATCTATGTACCAAACGTGAAAACATCAGATATCTAATCTTGTAAGCTTAGCATACTGCAATACACTTTAGAGATTCTTCCTAAAAGGGAAATGGCTTAAAGAGTTACATTATTACAGATTAATGAATTAATAAAGTGAAAATCTTAAGCAAATTGCTGAAAATTCATATTTGTTCACAGATTATGTGAAATGTTTTTATTTTAAAATAATGTTTCTCCTGTAACTGCAATGTTGACGTTGAACAATCATACATTAGAATCCAAATTGCACTATTTAAGTTGGAAATTACTGGCTAAAAGTACGTCGGCGTAGAACTTGTGCAATACAAAATACCAAGTACTCACATTAATTGATTCAATCTGGCCGAATTCCTCAAAGAGATTTGTTATGTCTTGTTGCGTAGCCTTTTTGTCTACCTGGCCAACCCACAGTGTAGTACTACATACTGAAATACAAACGTGACAGTAGAGGGACAACAACATTACAAATTACACAACCATAATCCTTACATTCGATAATAGCACCTTTCATGTTGGGAGAATGTCTCAAAGCCCTTCACAGGTTATACTGTAAAGTGGAGTGACTGTTTGTTTCATGAACAAATGCAGCAACCAATTTGCGCACAGCAATGTCCCACCAACAGCCATGAAGTGAATGACCAATTTCAGTAGGGGGATTATTGGCCAGGACACCAATAGAAATAACAACAAGTTGGATTTATATAGCACCCTCCATGCTGGACGGCGTCTCAGAGTGCCCTTCTCTTTTTGAATACTGCCAATGGGATCTTTAACGTCTAGCTAAACACGAAGACAAGACTTCATTCAGTTTCACTGAATGTCTCATCCAAAGGACATAGCAGCCAATTGCACACAGTAGTGTACCACAAACAGTCATTTTGTTTCTTTTTCTAAAAGTCAATAAAAATAAATTCCAGAATGGGTCAAAAGTGCTCTCAAAACTGTTCTTTTAACGGTTCTGAAATGGCATGGAATTATAGAATCATAGATTTATTCAGCACAGAAGGAGGCCATTCAGCCTATCGTGTCTGGTCCAGCTCTTTGAAAAGAGCTTCCAAATCAATCCCAATCCCCCCTGCTCTCCCCATAGCCCTGCAAACTTGTCCTCCCAAAATAATTATCTACTTCTCTCTTAAAAATTGTTAGCGAATTGGCTTCCACCACCCTTTTCAGGCAATGCATTCCAGATCTGAATAACTCGCTGTGTGGAAACATTTCTCCTCACCTCCCCTTTTTAACAACTATTTCTTTTAACAACTATTTTAAATTGGTGGCCTCAGGTTACCGACCCACCAGTGGAAATAGTTTCTTCTTGTTCACCCTATCGAGTCCCCTCATAATTTTGAAAACTTCTATTAAGTCTCCTCTTAATCTTCTCTGCTCCGAGAATAATCCCAGCTTCTCCAGCCTCTCCTGATAACTGAAGTCCCTAATTTCTGGTACCATCTTGGTAAATCTTCTTTGCACCCTCTCCAATGCCTTGACATCCTTCCTAAGTAGTTCAGTTAAGCTGAGGCCTAACCAGTGTTTTATAAAGGTTCTTCATAATTTCCTGACTTTTGTATTCTATGTCCCTATTTATAAAGCCTAGTATCCTGAATGCTTTTTTAACAGCTTTATCTACCTGTCCTACCATCTTCAAAGATTTACTTATATGAACCCCCAGGTCTCTCTTTCCTTCACCCCCTTTAAGATTCTAGCATCTAGCTTATATTGCCTCTCCTCATTCTTCCTCCCAATTTCAGAACTCCATCTGCCACGTGTCTGCCCATTTTATCAATCTGCTTATGTACCCTTGCAGTCTGCTACTATCCTCCTCACTGTTTACTACTTTTCCAAGCTTACAAGTAGACGGAGGGGGGGGGAAGGGAGAGAAGAAATACTTTAGCTGAGGAATTAGCGCTAACGGGCCATAACCTATTCATTTGCAGAAAAGTTAGAGGAGAGGTAAAAGGAATGTTCTTACTTCAGAGAGTTGTTAGGGTTTGCAATTCTTACAAGCGACAACTGAGAATAAGGGAACGGGAGAATAAGGGATAAACACCTAACTACCTGTAAAAGGTCGAGATAAGGAGAGTTACGGTCTGGAATGACTGTCTGAACGGATAGTGGAAATAGTTTCAATTACAACTTTCAAAAGGAAATTAGTACCTGAAAAAGAAAAATTTGTAAGGATATGGGGAAAGGGCGGGGGAGTGGATCTGATTGGGTAGCTCTTCCAAAGATGGGCACAACCTTCTGTACTGTAATATTCTACGATTCTATTCTATAAAGAGCTATAAAATTGAATTTTTTTAAAGAAGGCTATTCAGAAAAAGGGTAATAGCAGCAATACAGACACGAGAAGCTAAATGGATTCCTTCTGTGATGAAAATGTCTAGATTATACTCAATTCAAAATTGTACAGAAATGAATCCTGCAATAAATGTACGTACCGCTAAGTGTTTTAGACCGGACCGGAGGCAGACCCTTTCTCTGACGCTCCTTTGCTCTTCTTTCACTCGAGTACGAACGAGATGACTTTCTTTTTCTCTCTTTTGACCTGGAGCGGGAGCGTTTTCGATGCTTTCGTTTGCGAGAACCTGACCTAGATCGAGACCTTTTCTTCCTTGGTGATCTGTAATTAAAAATAGTTGCACAAGGATACTGACTTAAGATTTTTTCCATGAAAACAATTAATATTCATGCTATTTGAAATGGAACTCTCTCCCTCAATCCCTCTGCTTTGCCCCATTCCTTCCTTCTTTTAAATCCCGCCTAAAGACCTTCCTTTTTGATCATGCTTACAGTCCCTCCCATTCTCTCTCCCCCTTCCCTTCCCATTCTCTCTCCCCCTGCTCGGTGTCAGACTCCGTCACTGTCAAGCGCTCCAGGATGCTGAAGGGCGTTGTAAGTTGTTGTTGATATTGTTGAAGGGAATTATCAGAAGAAACATTACAGAGAAAGCATCACATTTACAAATGATACTGGGTACCAAATAAATGAAATCTAAATGATGAAACCATCTCAAATAAAACTGTTCACTGTACCTTGAACGAGACTGTGAACGTGTTCTAGACCTGGAGCGCACAATCGGTTTCTTTTCTTCTTGTTCAAAGATTTCCTCTTCAATAGTTTCCTGACCATCAGGTGCATCAATATCCATATCCTAAATGAAACCGAGAACACAGTTAATCAAGTGTAATGAACCACTACTGCTGATAATGCTTGCCTTTGAAACAGTGCCTTTCACATTGTGGGGAAGTCTCAAAGTGCTTCATTGGTATTACTGTAAAGTGTAATGACTGAGTAAAAATAGTGTCCAACAAACAGTTGTGGATTGAGTGACCAAATTATTATTATTTTTTAAGGGATTATTACCCCCAGGAAAAGCGATCTGCCAATCGACTAACAACGGGGTGACTACTTACTGCTGGGTAAACAGAGGCAGGCGGAGTAAGGAAACTTGCCCAACTATTCCCCCGAATAATTATTAATATATGATACATTATCCATATTATAGCTTTTTAATGTTACCTTTTTTCTGTTCAGAATTTACTGGACTTGATAAAAACTTGGCCTTGGCTGGATGAACATAGACTGCAACATTGCAAAGAATTAAAGAGTTTCCACCTGCTTTTTACCTGCTGTTGTTGCTCAAGTGAATCCTCCATTTTGATCTCCTGCTCCAGCAGTAGTTGAGTGCTGCCCTGTGATGGAGTCACTGACTTTTCAGAGCCAAATGTGACTTCCTGATTGTCCAGAGTTGTATTCTGCAAAATAGAATAAAACACTTTACAATTAAGTACATTTCCTTTACAGATATAAAATTACAGGCTGCTTCAAATCGACTTATCTGGAATATCTGAAAAATAACTTTCAGTAGTTACATTCACAATGACCTAAAAACTGGCTGCCACGTTTCCCCCACAAAATATACAGTCAATTCACTTTACAATATATTCCATGAAACGCTTGGAGACGTCTCGAAGACGTGACAAGGAGTTGTATCAAACGCAAGTATTATTATAATTATTAATTGTTGTTGCTTTTAGGATTATTATTCTCAAAGGTACAAATGCTGTTTTCTTCTCACCCTAATAACTCTTTACATTTCTGTAATTAATCTTACAGCTCAAGTTACACACTATATAATACACAATACGTTACCTCTCCATTGTCACCTGTGTAAAAAAAAATGCAGGTAGTACATGCCTGTGATGAGTGAATTAAAAAGATCTTGTGGTTCGTTTCCTGGTTTCTGCAGCTCGTGTACTGTCCTGCACCAGGCTTCGGGACCACATAACTCCCACCCTCGCTCGCCTCCACTGGCTCCCCATCCCCCAGAGGATCAAATTCAAGATCCTCATCCTCACCTACAAGGCCATTCACGGCCTTGCTCCCTCCTACCTCTCTGACCTACTATCCCCCTACCTGCTTGCCCGTGCCCTCCGTTCCTCTGGCTCCGGTCTGCTCCATATCCCCCGCCCCAACCGCCCTACCATCGGTGGCCGGGCCTTCAGCCTCTCAGCCCCTAGGCTTTGGAACTCTATCGCCCAGTGCCTTCGCCGCTTCCTCCCTTTCCTCCTTCAAGGCCGGTCTCAAGACCTTTCTCTTTGACCGAGCCTTCAGCTCCCCGCTCGACTCTCTACCCCCTCCTCGCTCCCTCCCTTCCCTCCCCTCACCCTGACCATTTCCCCCCTGCTCGGGTCCTGACCCAACTGTACAGCGCCTTGGGACGTCCTCCCGACGTGAAAGGCGCTCTATAAATGGAATCTTGTTGTTGTTCTGCTTAATCAGCGGATGTGCAATGAGATGCAATAAATTGTCCTCATTATCCCTGGGTAAGGAGAAAACATTGGCTGGATCCACCCCTGTCAGATGTGAATCTCTCATTCTGGTTTGGATACTTTTAAACATGTTGCTGAATTTCTGCAACTGACCAAAACTTGCTCATCACTACCTTGCATACATCATATGGACAGACATCACTGAATGAAGACTAAAAAGGGCACAAATTGCCTCTGCTTATAATTTACAATTTCAATTTATGCCCACCTCACGAAATGCACAATCTTACTCTATAAAAACGCTTGCCATAAAATGGCAGATTACCAGTTAAAGGATCATATACTAATATAATAATCCTTGTATTTGATATAGTGCTTTATCACATCTTCAAGATGTCTCAAAGCTCAAGAGATACAGTACTGCTAACCAAATTCAGATAATTTATGCAGCTCTAGGTCCCTGATGGGAGTGCACCTACTCAATACCATTGGGTCAGATAAATTACTTATTATATGAATTATATCAATGCAGACAGATAATGATCTGACAACACTTTCAAGCTGCAGTAATCACTTAATTTAAGACCTTGTTGTCAGGTATTTTTGATTCTCTTACCACTTATCTATGCACGGTTACTGGACTGAGCAGGAAGGAATTGTCATGACATATACAATCTTCTCTGCTGCTTGGCTCTGTACCTGTTGTGTCTGTTGCTGTTGCTCCATCAGCTGCTGACGAAACTGCTCAAAGTTTTGCTGCTGGAACTGTTCAGCCAACTGTTGAAAAAGTGATGTGTTCATGGTCTCAGTTACGAGAGGTCTGTAAACCAAAGGACCAACCAGTTACCACATGGGAAAACAAACAGCTGTGAGGAACTGAAAACAACTGCACTGCTAAACTTCTAAGAATTGCACCTTTAACAATAAGTACACCAGAAATGACACTTGAAGCACCTTAATGCCAATGATTAGAATTTGAACAGCAGCTTCAAAAGGCCCATAAAAAGGACTTGAACCATGGTATAATTGTACATTCTTTTTTATTTTAGCATGACTATTTATTATTACTTATCAGAGAAGAGGATAACAACATGCCCTAATAATCAAAAATGAATCAACCAGTCAACGTTTTTCTTAAAATTGAAAACGTCCCTCTTAACAGAAACCGTAATCTTAAATCCCCCCTATTCGGTGGGGAAGAATCTTTTAAAAAGTACACAAATCACAAATCTGATCCACGGGATGTGCCTTCTTCATCGATCATACCCAAGATAAGGCCTCCTGAAGCTACCTAAAAGTGTAAATATAATAATATAATAATCCTTGCATTCGATGTAGCACCTTATCAGGTCTTCGAGACGTCTCAAAGGGTTTCACAGAATATACTAGAATGAACTGACTATTTTGTGGGCGAAACGCTGCAGCCTATTGCACACAGCAGTGTCTCACAAACAGTTGTGAATTGAGTAACCAAATTGTAGTCCATCATAGTGTATTAAATGTTTCAGCACTGTATCCAAGAGTAGAAGAACTTCTTATATTCAATGTATTGTGACTGCGGTATATTCAATATATTGTTAATGCGGTATATTCAATACTTTCCCCTTCAGGGAATTCATTGAATGGTGGGAAGGAGCTTACCCACAAAAAGACAGGAAAATAATACAGGGATGGCATGTGTCTTGCTTATGCCACAGGAAGAATTCCACACTTGAAACTGGAATTTCCAAGGATTCATCCAAGTATTTGTTTGTGAATTTCTTAATGTATTGACACACTGCCCATCCGAAGATATTCGGTAGCTCAGTGGCTGGAGCACTTGTCTCCCAAGCGAGAGACTTGGGTTAAATTTCCAGCAGGACGAAACCTTGGGCTACCAACTGAAGTAAGCTGACAACCTAGTTACAGAAGCTATTAAAAAAGTCACTGTACACTGACGTGAATGCATGTTGTAGACATGTGTATGACTTCTTAAACCACTATGGAATAGAGGGGAGATGCACACAGCATCAGGTGGGATTTCAGCGATGTGATTTATTTCATATTGCCTCACCGCCTAGTGTTGGCATAGAAGATTCAGAGACTTGCTCACATTCAGGTAAAGGATGATCTGAAAGGGAAAGCCAAGGAGTTGTTCCATACAATTCAATGGTGTGCTTGGTAACTGTTTAATAAACCAGCACTTTAGCACTTTCCAGTGGGGTTGGATATAATCCTTGCATTCTGCATTTCACAAAGTTCCTTATCATGTCTTCAAGATGTCTCAAAGCGCTTCACAGAATATACTGCAAAGTGACTGTATATTATGTGGCCGAAACGTGACTGCCAATTGCACACAGCAATGTCCCACAAACAGTTGTGGATTGAGTGACCAAATTATTATTTTTTTATTAAATAATTTTTTTTTGAAGGGATTATTATCCCTGGAAAAGTGATCAGCCAATCGACCAACCGGGTTGCTACTTACCGGTAGGTGTGTGGAGTAAGGAAACTTGCCTAAGTTTCGCCCTGCCCGGGAATCTGTGAAGCGCTTTATTAAAGAGTTACCAAGCACACAATTGAACCTTATGGAACAACTCCTTTGGCTCTCATTTGTGAAGTGAGTGCTCTAACCACTAAGCTCTAGGACTGTCTAAAAGCATATCTACACTTTACTCGATGCATCCCATCCACCATCCGATGGTGTAATCTTACATATTTTAATTAAAGCATGGACATTGTATCAGGTAATCATTTGTTCAAGATCAAAGGTTTACTCTATAAATAACAAAGGCAGAGTTGTAACAAAAACTTACAGCTGCGATGGAGGTGTTTCCTTCTTAACTTCTTCTGAGCGATCATGCTCTTCATCATATTCAAACCTATCCAGGAGTTTCTGCAAAAATGTATACAAACCCAGTGAGCATTTCAAACCCCAGCAGGGCTTAATAACTATTATTATCTCAGAACATACGTCAAATGCACAGCAGATGAATCAGCATTCAAAAGAGAAGTGTTTTTTTTCGAGATCAGCTCTTCTGATGAACGATACCCAAAACATTAATCTACCCTTCTCTTTCAGACAAGCTGGATTTCCAGAGGATTTTGAGTTGTTCTATTATTCATACATTTTCTATTTCTCTCAACTGCATGTTCACCTGGCCTTATTTGTTGAGAGGTTTCATCCTCAAAATCAGCCAGATTTGTTTTGTTTGAGGTGATTACAACTACAAATGACAAATATGCATGTTAAGCATTGGGTACCAAGTTCCAAAATCAAACATATGCATCACATATGAATTGTAAAACACTTTCAATCGATTTGTAATGCCCAACTCAATCCACTAAGTGGTGCTGCACAAACATTCACAGCAGCATGTAGGATAAAGGAAAGTGTAACTGAACTGTTAGTTAGAACAAAATAGTTTAAACAGGGAAGGTAAAGAATGAAAAGAAGAATCAGGGACAAACAATGCAATGAAGCAAAAACAGAAGTCGCTGGGAACACTCAGCAGGTCAGCTTTCTATGGAGAAAGGAAAGTGAGTCAACGTTTCGGGTCCACGACCCTTCATCAGAACCGAAGGTGGATTCATTCCAGCAAGTAGACAAGAACTTGTTTTTAGCTCAAACCTCGTCTATTGTAACAATTTGCATTGTGAGTTCTGACTTCTGTTTTTATTTCAGATTTCCAGCATCTGCAGGAATTTTCCTTTTTCCCCAAAAAAAATTGTATGCCTGCTTCCTCCATAATAGAAATTGGTAAAGCCACAGAGTAGAACATTATATATATATAATATATATATATCACCACATGCAGAATATCCCATTGTCCACTAAACCGCATCAGGATTGAGATCTTGTGAGTAAAATTCGTGAAATTTCACACAAAAATATGAACTCGCACAAGTACACATTGTAACCAGAAGTTCAGCACATTCCAAATGCCCATTTACACTTGGCATCAGAATGGAGAGTTTGTTCATTTCGTCCATAAATGTGTACATTAGAATATACAGCACAGAAACAGGCCATTCGGCCCAACTGGTCTCTGCCAGTATTTATGCTCCACATGAGCCTCCTCCTGCCCTTCCTCAACTAAGCCTTCAAGCATAACCTCCTATTCCTTTCTCCCTCATGTACCTATCTAGCTTTCCCTTAAATACATCTATGCTATTTGCTCAACAACTCCTTGTGGTAGCATGTCCACATTCTCACCACTCTCTGTGTGAAGAAATTTCTTCTAACTTCCCTATTTGATTTATTTGTATAAATGAGAGTGTGAAAGATGCAAACAGATTCAGAGAAATAGAAAGGTGCATGAGGGGAGAAGAAAACACTACCCTTGTTATTTTAGTGACAGTATAATTGCTGATGTAATAAGGTTTGGGTTCATAGATTACATTCCAAGTGATGACCTTATATTTGCAGTTTTCATATCCACAATGGAGCTGGTGCCAATTCGGCCCATCTTTTGAAGAGCTACGCAATCAGTCCCACTCTCCCACTCTTTCCCCATATCCTTGCAATTTTTTCCTATTCAAGTACCTATCCAATTCCCTTTTGAAGCTATTATCAAATCTGCTTGCACCACTCTTTCAGGCAGTGCATTCCAGACATCTCTCTGTGGAAAAAACAATTTCTCCTCATCTTCCTTCCCTCTGGTTCTTTTGCCAATTATCTTAAATCTATTGGTTATGAATTATTTAGTAGTGCAAATATTGATGTGTACAGTATTTATTAGTTCTGCGTTATACCATCACAGTACCTTATTAAAATTAAGTCTCTGTTCCAAAGGATTGAGTGTATTTGCTGCTGTTGCAGCTGCTGTGAGCTGAGCTGTCAGAGCCTGCAGCTGAACCACCAGACCCGCATCCAGAGCCTGAAGCAGAGACGGCTGAGGTTTCTGTTGCTGCATCTGAAGACTTTGAACCAACTGCTGGAGCTGGCCACAAAGCGATAGGATAATGAGTACAAAATTCACACCAAACACACTTCACATTACTCAACTGCTTCAGCAACAAATGACCATTTCTGATGCTACCAGTGGTGTGGGGCTTAACTTATATAGCGCCATTCATGTTGGGAGGACATCCCAAGGTGCTGGACAACTGTAACTAAGAGTTTGCACCCGAGCTGGGGGGGCGTTTGGGGAGGGGGGAGATGAGTTGGTGGAATCAAGAAGGCTGGAGGTATGATGGCTGAATTCACGGCTGAAGAGGAAGGTCTTGAGATGGGCTTTGAAGGAGGCAATGGAGGGGGCGAGGAGGGATGGGGGCAGGAAAGCTGAAGGCTCGATTGCCAATAGTGGGGCAGGCAGGGCAGCGGACTTGGAGAGGCCAGGGGACATGGAACAGGCCAGTGCCCACCAAGTAAAGAAGCAGACAAGTTGGTATGGTGTTAATAGGTCGCAGAGATAGGGAGGAACAAAATCTTGGAGGACTTTAAAAGTGAGTATGGGGATTTTAAACTCAATCCCTTGGGGGATGGGGAGCCAGTTAAGCCGGCCATGGGTGGGACTTATAGGGTCAAGGACAACTGGTGCGGGAGAGGACACAAGCTGCATAGTTGTGAATAATCTGCAGCTTGTGGAGGAAAGAATAGGAAAGTCCGGTCAGCAGGGAGTTAATGTACAATACAATACAAAATTACATCTGCATAACGACTTTCATGTCGGGAGGACGTCCCAAGCCGCTAGGGCAAGCCTGGATGTGATGAATGTGTGGATAGCAGAACAGAAGTCTGTCTACTCTAAAAATATTTCAACAGGCCAAAAGATTTTAAATCATCTGAGCAAAACAAAAAAACCCATACAAGATGCTTTAATCAAATTTGGAAATACCATACCTGTTGCCCCTGGGGGCTCTGCAGAAGCTGTGCTACAGCAGCAATGGTATCTGTGTTAGACATCTGCGAGATTGAGGCCCAGGAGTCAGGCAAATTCTGTACTACGTTAGCAGGGGTAGCAGGAGTGGCTGGCGTTCCTGATATGGAAGACAATTGCACACGAAACAAATTTGTACTTTTTTCTGTGTGTAAAACACAACTGTTATTGGACCAAAACAATCCAAGGCACGTTTTTTCTAGTGTTACGAGCATATACAAATTGAATTACTATAATATAATCTTTGCATTTGGTATAGCGGCTCATCATGTATTCGAGACTTCTCAAAGTGCTTCACAGAATATACTTTAAAGTAAGACAGTTCTATACGCCTATATGTACACAAACGACATGGCTCGCTCCCCCTCGCATAGTGCACTGGGTGTCCTCTGAGTTCAATCCACACAAATGAATGGAAGTCCCTATAACTAGGTGTAACTTGACTAATGAGTTCTTCCACGATGACAGGTATTACCAATTGCTATTTAAATTAAAGCAAATTGGGAAGCTTCTGAAGTCCTCAGTCTTTTATTCTAAACAGACACAATAAACATCAACAAATGCAACCATGAAACAACAAACAATAATCACACTTAAACTAAACACTCTAGCAACCACTTCTAATGCTTTTAACGAGCACATAAATTTTACAGAACATATTTTAAACAACAGACTGGCGTAGAAAACAAAGGAGTGACCGTAACAAAAGTGAATTTTTTACAGAGAACTGTATATTTTGTGGGCGAAACAGAGCAGTCAACTGCACACAGCAGTGTCCCAAAAACAGTGGCTAAATTATAATTTTTTTAAAAAAGGGATTATTACCCAGAAAAGCGATGAGGGAATTAATCAAAATTATCTGTATTATATATACATATATAACAGTGAGAATTTTTGAGTATATCATCTTCTTTAATATGATAAATGCTCCCTTCCCCAGTACTTTAATATGCGCACTACTCTTTCCTTGGAGGGACGCATCCTGTTTACCTAATTCTGGAAAGTATTAGGAGCAGGTTGGCAAGAGCCAAGGCTTGAGGACCCTAGAGTGTGCGTTGGGGTAACTGTAGTCTAACCAGCTAAAACCACATATCTTGCCATTAAGAGCAATGCCTTGTCCAGTGAAAACACCCTACCCCTTAGGGATTTGGCTTGCAACGTTATAATAATAATCCTTGCATTTGATGTAAGACCTTATCACATCTTCGAGACATTTCTAAGCGCTTCACAGAATACTGTGAAGTGAATTGACTGTGTATTTTGTGGCGAAATGCGACAGCCAATTTCACACAGCAGTGTCCCACAAACAGTCGTGGATTGAGTGACCATATTATTATTATTCAAAAAAAAATTTGAATAGATTATTGACCCTGGAAAAGCGATCCACCAATCGACTGACAACCAGGTTCCTACTTACTGCTAGGTAAACAGAGGCGTGTGGAGTAAGGAAATTTCATTCTGCCTGAGAATCAAACCCAGGACCTATCGCTTGGGAGGTGAGTGCTCCAACCACTAAGCTCCATTATGTATGTGTGTTAGAAACAAATTGCCAGACCAGGTTGAATCAGCTCTCAAAATAACCAAATGCAAATAGCTGAGTTCAGGTTTATACATGCGCAAAATGTTTTTTAAAATAACTGGTTTGTTATTAGTTATTAGGGGAGAAAGACAGTGTTATTTATATTGGACTGCCTACAAATTTATCTGCAACATAAATCCTCGTATGCAAGTGTTGTTGAGATACATCCAAGTGCAACAGTCACTGAGTTTATTCTGGCGATCAGAGGCTAGCTGCCTGGATTGCTTTGTCAGCATTAGTAGAATGGGAGATTTCCTATTTGTATTCCTATGTAGACGTTTTTGTGTTAAACGTACAATGGTTATATGCAGCTTCATTGTTCCTGCATTATGGCTTATTGTCCCTTTCATAGAAGTCTTTTTGGCTTTTTTTTATAGGTGAGCAGAATTGAACAGCGTGCCAGTGATGATTTTGTGTCCTACTGTATGCAAAGTTATTCTTTGCATACAGTAGGATTCATTCCCCTCATTCTATGTGGGGAAATACTGTCACCCACTGGTAACATCCTAGAATAACATGGCTGAAACTCGGTGGCATGAGGGATATTGCAAATGCAACATCGCATTTATACTTCATATACAACATTAATAACAATATGTTACTTCACTGGCATTCAACTAATTGGAGATCGCGATTATTCTTCCTCATGGGAGCAGGAAATAACAAGGAAACCCTCGTGACCAATGTATTTGATCCATTGTGTGTAAGACCTATAGAAAAGCCCTTCCTGTCCTGACCGGAAAGATGTTTTAAAGCCAAGTCAGGTGCATATGAATTACAGTATTTATCTAATAATTTAATAATAATAATCATTGCATTTGATATTGGACCTTATCACGTCATTGAGACACTTTAAAGCGCTTAAAGTGAATTGACTGTTTATTTTTGTGAGCGAAAAGCGGTAGCCAATTGCGTACAGCAGTATCCAATAGTGGTGGATTAAGTGATCAAATTATTATTGTTATTTTTTTAAAAGGATTATTACTCCCGAAAAAACAATCCTCCAATCGACTAGCAACCGGGTTCCTACTTACCGCTAGTTGAACAGAGGAGAATGAAACTTCCTAAAATTTCGCCTCCCCGGAAATCAAACTCTCACTTGCGAGGTGAATCCTCTAACCAATATGCTACAGAACTCCACAAGTTTTTACACAAATTTACAAGAATACTTAATCAAAAAATAGGTTGGTGCTGCTTTAGCAATTTGTCTCACTTACAATACAGTACAATTTACGCTTAAATAGCAACTTTCATGATGGGAGGATACTCCAAAGTGCCTGACAATGCACATGCCAAAAAGAATGGAGGACAGAATCTGGGTGTGGAGAATAAATGTATAAACAAAATGGAATTGTAGTTCAATGTAGATAATTTTATGCAAATATCATGGGCTAACTATTATGGGTTCACCGCTGGTCCATAGCAGGTCCGTAGTGTGATTAAATGGCCCTGCCCTCCATACGTATGCCTACACATTATTATTATTACATATAACACTGAAGCAAAATTTTAATTGCCAAGTAAACTAGCATAGCTTTGTATTTTCCTGTGATTATGAGTCCGTTACCTGGGGTGTTGCTGCTCACAGTGGCTGCAGTACTGGCAATAGCAGGCGTGACTGAGGGTGGTGGAATCCCTGCTGCCATATCCAGCAGTGGTTGAATCACCTCACTTTTGAACACACTGTTCTTCTGCCACAGGTTCAAAACTCGCACCACCTTACTCTGCAGAACAAACAAAATTCAGCAATTAGATGGCACTAAAACAAGTCATAGGTTAAATTCAAACCCAATGTTATTAGTCAAATTAATTAAAATAAAAACAAACCTTTTTTAAAGAAACAAGACTCTTAGTCTTGCATTAAATATATTATTTGCAATATTATCATGTTCATACTTTTAAGGTTTATACTTAAAACATACAATGCAAATTATCAGCACATCCAGCAGGGGAGGAGGAGAAGAGAAGAAAAAGTACATCTATTACTGTCTATAGAAACTTAACTGTTCTATGCCTAATGAAGGGAGTGACAAACATTCCAAGGAACGCAATGGGAGTGTAATACGCAGCAATTAATAACAGGAGTTGGGAACAACAAATCCTGCCACTAACTAGAAGTGTAATATGAATTGGAGTAGACTTCCTGAGCATTAGCATAACTCACTTGCGTTTTTTGTCAGGAGCAATAATTTGTGATTCCTCTTACAAATCAGTGCATATTAGACCCCATCAAAAGCAATGCCACAAATTAATAACTCTAAGCAGCATCATCTCTACTGGGCAGGAAACTTGTATGTATGTTGACACAGAACTACTTTCAAAGAATGATTAAGTCCATACTCCAAAAGCATCAATGCCAAATGCATTGTATTAACTGTCTATATTCTCACCAAGGTGGTGTGAAAATACTCCTTACAGAATGACACTCAAAACTACTTTGATCATGTACCAGAGATACTTTTCTGAGGTTTCAAAACGCAGATTCTTGCTCCATCTCTCATTATTCATTCAACATTGTGGAAAGGGTAGAAAGTTGATGAGTTCCAGATCCATGGCAACATGAAGAGAAAATGGAGTGTATTTATGACACTGCGAAAACATTTAGCTGTAAAGAGCTTTCCATCAGATGGTACGAGAATGCTTGCAGTCATTAAACCAAGAACCTTCACTTAATGCTGCACTGAGATCCCGGGGCCATTCCTGAAGGAATCCGTGCTGCCTGAGTGCTGTTAAACCTGTCAATAGCAAGACCATACTTCATAGGCTAAAACAAAGCTATCAGGTGCTCCACTATCTGTAGTGGAATTTCTCTCAATCACAGTGGAGGCCAGTCCCTCCAAGGTTTTGACAATTTGCTAAACTTGGCTGACTCTTGAAATGGTGCTTATTAAACAGTTGTTGAGATGCAAGTATATTCAAATGTTGCAACAAGAGATGAGCTATCATCCTTTTCTGACTCTCGGTAAATACCCTGGCCATTTGCAAGATAGGATTCCTTTGTCCTGATAGTAAGCCTTGATGCTGAAAACTAAGTATTTTCTGCACAACCATGTAAAAATATATATTGAGGCCTAAGACTATTGTCCACTGGCTCCATTCTCTTCCATTTGTGCAACATTTTTTTTAAGACCGATCTTTCATTTGTGTTTTTTTTCCTTAAGGAGTTCTGTGGGTCAATTGGAATCCTGGCTTGGATTCTGCAGAATAACAAATCTCTTGGCATTAGTACATTTTCTATAATTCTAAGAAGCAAATGTTGCTCCTCTTTAGCCAGCAGCATTGTGGTGTAAACACCAGGTCCTTTTAAAAAAAAACTCCTCTGAAAATTGGAGAAGATCTCAAAAATTATAGGGCACATCCATTCAGATTGTGTCCTTCATCACAGAATCCGATGAAGCGACGTTCCAATCTCAAATTCCAAAACAACTTAGGAGCAAAACAGAATGAAAGCATATTTTCTTTTATTTGTAGCTCTGTGCTCTTCATACATTACATTCCAAGGTAACATATTTGCTTTGCCAAGTGTTGAGCTTTTAAGGTTGCAATATGAAGAGCCATTCCCAAAATAGCCCTTAAAAAGTCTTTGTTGCTTTTAAAATGATATACTCAGGTCTGCACAAAAGAGTCTCAGCCGTGTGATCTGTCGAGTATAGAATCATTGGGCTGGTGTCTGATCATCAGCATCAAGGACAGCGTTCAGCAGCAACGTGGTCTCTATATTATTATTTTCCTGTCATTGGTCCTAACTATGAGGCACGCCAGAAGGAGCCATAGCTTGTCTACGTCATCAGAACACAACTTCCATTTTCAGAGTTCTCTGTGCATATAGCTCCTTCAATAATGAATTGAATTCTTTTACTTTCTCCTCAAAGGACTGGATATGTTGCGTTTTACCAACAATTTTTCCCACTTTGCTTGAAAATTAAAAGTAGCTGTAAAGTCGCTAAAGGCCAATAGATCTTGACCTTCGACCTGAACTTTGGTTGCTGTCCAAAGCAAGGAAGGGAGATATTCCGGGAAGGGAGCATGTTGTTTGGCCACTATACCTTTCTTGTTAAACTTAATTGTTTGCCTAATTTAAAGCAAAAGTTGAGAATGTCTGCATGACTGAAGGGATCCAGCTTAGAATTCTATTTAACGTATGTGCTTTTAAACACACAAAATATTTCTACCTACAACTTCTGCTGATTTGGAAGAAGCTTCCCCTTCTGGAAAGCTAATTATGAGTGGAAAAGAGCAGCTGAGACAAAATTTAATACTGCGAGCTGGCATCAACAGTAGGCTGAAGAAGATGGCCAAAGCCAAGCCGAAAGAAGTCGGTTTGTTGGGGCACAACCTGATGCATGTCAAGCATTAATCAGCGAAGTAAAACAATCAAACATACACAGGAAAAACAAAACATCCCACTACTTTCCAAAGAATTAAAAAACTTTTTAAAACAAGACGCTCTAGAACGGTGAATTACAAGAGTGCAATAATTCACCAGGATGCAAACAGCAAGAAAACTCTCTGTAGCGGGTCCATGACAGATGATAATGGGTAAAAAGCAAATATTATACTCATTATGTGGGAAAGATCATCTAACGAAGTTGTAGGTACCATGGACAAAATTTCATAGCATGGCCATAGGTGACTTTCTCCTATGGGATGACAGTGATTCCTTTTCTACATGAAGATCAATCAAATCAAGAATCAGTATGTAAAAACATCTGTTTGTGTGTTCCTGGAGATACAAAGAAAGAATGGAAGATAAAATGTGGACCATGGACTTTCAGCTCAAATGGAAATTGCAGTATCTTGGTTTTGGAGAGTCTACTAAAAAATGCCATCAGGTATACAGTGAGCCTGAAACGTATAATTTATAGTTTGTACATTAAAAATGTATAGAAGCTAACTGGATTAGGAAAAGCTGCAAACTGCTTAATGTCTTTAATGAACCCAACTATTTTATTTCATACATTAGCATCTCTCATGTCACCTGAGTAAGGTTTGTCCTTGCAGTCTAACATGACAGCAAAGTGAAATCAAAATATATTAATTTTTTCACAACTGAAATTATCTTGAAGACAGCAGAGTTTCATGCAAATGCAGGATCACAAACCCGGGGACCAAACCACCTTTCATTAAACTTTACGTGGGGATTCTAACAAGAACATTTCACTTGAGCAAATCAAAATTTCCCTCTGAAGAATGAAGGATTATGTTGGACTACAAAAAAAATCCTGTCAGAATATCCTGTAAAGTGACTATATATTTTGTGGATGAACGCGGCAGCCAATTGCGCTCAGCTGTGTCCCACCAAGTCATAGATTGAGTGACCAAATTATTATTATTATTATTATTTTGAAGGGACCCCCGGAAAGCGATCTGCCAATTGACTAACATGGTTCCTGGTTACTGCTAGGTAAACAGAGACAAGTGTGTGGAGGAAGGAAGTACCGAGTAATCGATATCCCTAGTCACTGAATGTCAATGAGTGAGGTGAGGCGGGAATACGTGCTAAAGGGTAGTGAAGTCCGATTCGATAACAGCTTTTAAGAGAGAACTGGATAGGTATCTGGGGAAGACGGGTTTGCAGGGTTATGGGGAGAAAGCTGGTGATTGGGGTTAGTGAAAGTGACTTGCTCGTCAAAGAGCCGGCACAGACTCGATGGACCGAATGGCCTCCTTCTGTGCTGTAACATTCTATGAATCTATGAAAAAACACAGAGTGGCCGCCAGATGGGGGTCTACATGTGAGTGGACTCGCAGAAATGTTTCTGGAAATTTTCCGTTTCGGGCCCGATCCAACTAAGTACGAATTCCAGATAACCCGGAGTCCAGTAAGGCAATGGTTTATTCTACTCGTGACTAACTGATTAAGTACTTTTAAAAGAGTCAACCCGTAATCATTTCAGGTGTATTATTTTTGTATCAATTGAAACTATAAATGAACGTTTTGCCCACAAAATATACAGTCAATTCACTTTACAGTATATTCTGTGAAGCGCTTTTGAGATGTCTCGAAGACGTGAAAAGCGCAAAATTCAAGGATTATTATTACTATTATTATAAACATTTCCACCTGTGATTGTACATCTAAAGGGACTTCCTGAAGATTCGTCATTAAGTTAATTTCTGCTTAGGATCCTATATTCTCCACTCATTATTGCTATATGTGATCTCTACTGATACTCAACAGAATGACAGGACAGGTACACTGCTTCTCTACTAATAGCGTAATCTATCATAAGCATACATCATATATAATATATATTTATTCATTATTATTAATTAATTTATTTATTTATCATAATATTCAAGACTGTGTACAATTTTGAAAAACTTTGTAGACATTTGAGCAGAATACAAGCATTCATATTTTTTCAAAATATTAACCATAAGACATAAGACACCTCTTCCTGATCCTTGTGCATGAATTCTAGGAGAACATCAAAGGGTGTACACAACATGTCATCTTGTAAACTCTTACTATTTACGAAGATTGGAATATGAATTCTTTCTGAATGTGTAAGGACTAGCTAGCTTCAGATCAAAAACATCATTCCTGGATTATCAGTACATCAAAAAGCAAACATTTGGTGAGGGTTACAGTAAATGTCCCATAATCACAGAATAATACAGCATAATACAACATAATCAGGAATTAGCAGAAAAGAAGGAAAGCAACAGGTTTACATAATAATAATCCTTGCATTTGGTATAGCGCCTTATCATGTCTTCTGAGACGTCTTGAAGTGCTTCACATATCCTATAAAGTGAAATAACTATATTTTGTGGGTGAAACGTGGCAGCCAATTGCACACAGCAGTGTCCCACAAACAGTCGTGGATTGAGTGACCAAATTATTATTATTTTATAATTTTTTACATAGGAGGATCAGCAAAGGCCTCAGAAAGGTTTTCGTGTTTGCTCTTTAGCGAGATAAAAATGGCATAGGTGTTCTGGAAGCTCCATGATAAATAATCTTACTTTGCAGGGAATTTGGAAATTTTCAGAGTGATAGGAGGGTAGATAGTCACAGGGCTAACAAGACCATTGTGCTGCATCTCGGCTGTCCCAAAACTGAAATCTTTAAAAATCAAACACTGCTTTTATTTCTTAGATCTGTGATTTACTACACATGAAGAATGCCCATTGGAGCAAGTAATAGGGGGCTACAGAAGGGTTGTTTTTAACCACTGGGCTGCCTGAAAACCCATTGAAAATACCAAAATCTAGCAATACAATTGTTGTAAGCAGTAAAAGAATAGTATTATTTATAAAATGTGCTAACCAATGTTTAATAAAAAAATAAAGATATTATTATCTTGGCACTAAGGCTTGTTGTGTTCAGATGTACATAACCATATTCCCTTTGAATACTCTGAATTTGGGTGAATTCAGTTAAGACTTCAGAATTACTATCAATGCTATTCTCTAATAATCTGAAAGAAAGCCCTGATTGACTGGACAATTCCAACCCATACCCGTTCCCTCTCACTTGATACAATCAGAGAAATTACAGTGTAAAAACAGACCATTTCTGAGTTGATTCTAGGTACTCCCCTGAAGCTGTATAAGCAAATCCCATTTCTCCACTTTCTTCAAACCTTTTAGACTTGTTCTTCAAATGCTGATTCAATTTGCATTCCCAAAAATAAGAGCTCATGATTTAGATGCTCAATCATAAAGACTCCCCTGATTAATGAGTTAATTTAAATGTTATTGAAGGCTGAGATTCAAATGCAAGGTCACCTTGCTTTCAGCTACTGTGCTGCTTTTGATAATACAGACCAAAAGAAAGAAAACAAAAGCCCCATTACTCACAATCTAGTGAAAACATTGGGCACTAAACTAATGGCAATAATCGCAGAGTCCAATAAAACTCTTTTGAAAACATTCAAGCAAACCAGTTTGTTTAGGAGTTCTGAGTTAGAATACACAAGAAGGCTGCATAGAGACTACATACCTTGTCATCAGCAGGGCATTTGTATAAGTTCTGGAAAGTTGAATTGATGTTCTTGCAAAATCTGGGAGCAAAGACATCCTTTTCTGGACCAAACTGATGACGAGACTGACGCACAATTGAGTCGATAACATACAGTCCTGGGACTTTGTATTCAGGTTTACACTGTAAATATATATTTAAATACACAAATGAAGTACTTCAACAAGATGAAGCCAGACTTTATCTGGAAGCTTACACTTATAATAATACAACATAAAATTACACTTACACAGCACCTTTCACGTCAGGAGGATGTCCCAAGGCCCTGGACAGTCAGGACCTGAGCTGTGGGGGGAGGGGCAGGTGGGGGTGGAGAGGGTCTTGAGACGTGCCTCGAAGGAAGCAAGGGAGGGAGCGAGGTGAAAGGAATGTGGGATGGCGTTCCAAAGGGTGGGGGCAGAGAGAATGAAGGCCCGACCGCCGATGGTGGGGTGGGCCAGATAAGGGAAGTGGAGTAGGCTGGAGCCTGCTGAGCGAAGGAAGCGGACAGGTTGATATGGGGTTAGCAGGTCGCAGGAGCAAGACCATGAAGGGATTTGTAGGCGAGGACGAGGATTTTAAACTCTATCCTCTGGGGGATGGGTAGCCTGTGGAGCCGGGACGAGAGTGGAGGTGGTGGGGGATAATAATCCTTGGCTTTGATAAAGCGCCTTATCACATCTCCGAGACGTCTCAAAGCACTTCATAGAATACACTGTAAAGTGAATTTACCGTACATCTTGTGGGCAAATGCAGCAGCCAATTGCGCACAGCAATGTCCCATAAACAGTCGTGGATTGACTAACCAAATTAAAATTTGTTTTAGAAGGGATTATTATCCCCAAAAACGCGATCCGCCACTCGACTAACAACCGGTTTCTTACTTACTGCTAAGTAAACAGAAGTGTGTGGATTAAGGAAACTTGCCCAACGTTTCGCCACGCTCAGGAATTGAGCCCAGGTCATCTCGCTTGAGAGGCGAGTGCTCTAACCACTAAGCTACAGGACTCCACATAATAATAATAAACCTTGCATTTGATATTCCTTTCCCGAGTTAGGTTTCTAACAAATGAATAGAAAGCTCTTTAAAATCATTACTTAAAACTGTTGAATTACTATCGCTGTTAAAGAAATTCAGCTAACACACGCTGTGCAATGTTTTTACATTGACTGAATAAACAAACTGACTTCTTCAACCACAGGTAACATTAAAAGTTAAGAAATTGTCCTGAGGTGGGATTGGTGACGCAGCAATCATGGTTGCTCAAACAAGCACTCTGGAACGCTACCCTGCATGAGAGGTGCTATATAAATGCAAGTTTATATGGTGTCCTGTAGCTCAGTGGTTAGAGCACTCGCTTTGCAAGCGAGAGACCTGAGTTCAATTCCAGGCAGAGGGCGAAACCTTGGGCAAGTTTCCTTACTTCACACAGAGCCTAATAATAATCCCTCCAAAAAAACAAAACAAGAATAAATTGGTCATTTTCAATCTACGACTGTTTGTGGGACATTGCTGTGCACAATTGGCTGCCGCGTTCGCCCACAAATATACAGTCAATTCACTTTACAATGTGTTCTGTGAAGCGCTTTGGGACGTCCTCCCGACGTGAAAAGTGCTATATCAAATGCAAGGATTATTATTATTATTATTATTAAGTTGTTGTTGAATAGCCCTGGATGTCATAACAAGAGATTGTCAGCAGAAGCTGAAATGATGTTTTCGAATTACTATTATAGCATTTTTCTACATTCAAAAAAATCTATTTTGAGGAAAAAATATACCCACCTTTGAACTGGAATTGGATTTTTACTACTGTTTACTACAGTGACAAACTCATACGGAAAATAATAATCATTGCATTTGATATAGAACCTTATCACGTCATTGAGACATCTCAACGTAAAAGAGATTCCAGATCAAATTTTAAGAACACCATTTCCTACCAGCAGGGTTTTTCATTCTTCAAATCAATAACATCCTCCACACACTGTAAATGTTGATACAGATTATTGGGGATTTCCTCCCCCTTACGGAATTCATGTCAAATCCATGTACAGCTCCCTCAGTTTGTTCTAGCTAATATAAAACCTATTTATTTCAGTGTCTGAAGAGAAGGCAAGGAGGAAAGCTTGTTGAATGCAGGTTGTTGTCGATTTGAAGATTATTCAAGTGACAATCTCCACACACTATCCACTTCTACCAGAATAGTGATTAAAGATCTGGAGACAGCAGCATCATGTCAAAGTAACTGAGCTTCCAGGTTATTGGATGCAGATAAATCCAGAACATTGTGTTCGGTAAATGTTGACTAATTACTCCAGGTTTCAGCCTGTCAAATCTTACCGATTAAAACCAATTCAAACCTATGAGCTGCTCGAGATCCAGCTTCAAAGCACAGTGGCCCTTAAAATGTTCCATGTAGAGTCCTACCAAACAGGTAATAATAAAAAAACTTCAAGCTAAACACCAGGAACATTTCTGTTAAGACACTATTACCCAATTTGCTTGAAGAAATAAGAAACAAACTATAGGACTTTCTTATCGACGGGACTTGTCAATCAAAGAATGCTGAAAGCCTTTAGGCATCTACAATGAAATGTCTTCTCTCTCTCAGAACTCTGAAAAGGATAAAATAAAGGATAGTAACATTCTGGATAAGAGGAAAGTAAGAAGTAATCCTGGGTAAAACTTAGGGTGGGTCCAGAAACATCAATATTGAGTGAATATTGACTTACTAATGCAGAATAATGACATGCTGTTGCTAGCTAATGAAAAATATTGACTAGCTAATGCAGAAGATCTTTACAAGTAGACGACTGTCTGAAGTGATTTTACAATAGACTTAGAATGTATATTCGAGATTACAAAAATACACCTCACCTTGAAATTTAAACTACATGAAGGGTTTTGCTGAAATCACCATCTTTGATTTAAGAATAACAACAGTTCTTGAAGGTCAAGAAGCGCTCTGGACACTACCCATGTGAAGGGCGCGATATAAATGCAAGTTCTTGTTGTTATTGTCTTGGGAAAGGATGATGATCCAGGAATGCCTGAAAGCAGGATCTTATATATGTCATGTCCTGGTACAAACAAATTATATTTTTATATTTGACAAGAAAAACAAGTTTCTGGATAGTATGGAACACCAGAAAGACTGGTTTTCTGATCTCTCGACATAGGGCTTTTAAAAACCAGTTATTTAGGCTTGAGTATATGGATAAACAGAGATGTGGTTCATAAATGGGCATTATGTAGACATCCCAAATTGGTAACAAGGACAAAGAGAAGTACTTGATTGCTAAATACAACTCTGGAAATGGAATCGTAAGTTTTGTTTGTGGACTGAATGGATGGTGAATTCAATCAGTTGGATTGATGGATTAAACAACGTCAAATAGGAATGACAACAAGGATGGGAAGCTCGTGCCTAGAAGTGTTGCTTTATATCTTACTAAGTACTACCGGATATAACGTGTGTTGATCATCCTCCGATCTTTCTAATAAAAGTAGCATGGCCAACTGAATTTTCACAACACGAAGATTCAAACACTCCAAAATCAGATGTAACCGTACATCTGAGACTAGAAGATAAACTTCACTCAACAAAAATAAGGAATGAGAGACCAACTTGGCAGGTAATTTTGCTCATTGGTTTTACAGCAGTACAATTCCAGAATGTAGCAAATATATCGAGAGAACTATTCATCACTTGATTTTAAGACATGCCTTGACTGATCTACCAAAGAGCATTATCTTCTTTATTAAATAAAATCTAAACTTTGCTCAATGAAGCCTTCAGCATGACTATGCTCTGATTCTTTAGAGATTGATTCTAAATAACATCTCTTCGCAAATTCCTAAATAACTTGGCTCATGAGTTGGGTGATTGGGTTTTCACCTAGTGAGGTACGCCACACAAATAAATGTTGCTCAAAAATATAATATGATAAATGCATTTGATATAGCGTATTATCATGTCTTCGAGACATCTCAAAGCACTTCACAGAATATACTATAAAGTGAATTGACTGTATATTTTGTGGGCAAAACAAAATAGACTTGCTTCAGGTTAATAAATCAATTATGCAAACATTTCCTTAGAATCATGAAGATTCTTTGTCATATTCAAGTCATCTTAAATATGCTGATGCAGTTATATCAAACTTCCCGTGGGCTTCCCTCGTGGCTGATAGAATTTCAGTACCATAATCTCTTCAGAGAAACAAATCTCTAAAATAATCTAGGACAAATTTCAGATTCTATGCGAGAACTCAATCGAAATGGCATAATAAAATATAAAATCTCATAGACCATTCACTTCACATGCGAAGACCAGAAATGAGAGCATGAACTATTCGCAGGTGGAAAAAAAAATTGATTGCACGATAGCAAGAGTGTACACAGTACAAACTTCACCTTGTGTCCAGTCAGTAAATCAATATTCTGAACAAATTTTCAATGGCCCTTTATTTCCCCCTACAACTTGAAATTGATGACAAAACCCATACATGAGGCACCTCACAAAAAAGGGCAAGATTGTCTGTTTCCATTGCACAATAGTTTGTAGTTTGTGAAGACTACAAACTATTGATCAAATATCACTAACAAATATCAGACAAAGGGTCTAATTTTGCAGGCATTGTTTATGAACCTCAACACCAGGGGAATATTTATCTTAGCTTTTCCACTCACTGTGATATGGAAAAGGTATGGACAAGATTAACGAGGGTTACAGCTTGGCAGTGTCAGGTACTGTCATAAAGTCAGTCTATTCTCTCATTCTGACAAGTAGTCCCAAGGTTCAGGCTTGATATTTCCATTATCGAAAGCAATCTGCAGCATTTTTCAGGGGAAAAAGACAAATTCGGTAGTACTAATATCAATACTTTCCAAATCATTTACCAAATTCTCTCCCCCCCTCATCACTATCCTGATATGGCTTTCTGCTTCTCTCCTCCAATTGTCTACAAATATACAGTCACTACAATCCACAGTAAATTCCCGAGAAGCGCTTTGAAACAGCGACGATGCGATAAGGCACTATATCAGATGTAAAGATAATTAATAAAAATTTCAAAGTTACTAATCCCCTCCCCCTGAAACCACCTGCCTACAAGAATAATAGACCAGTTTCATCGAGTGGGAGCCTGTATCATCTCTGCTTTCCATTGATGTTTCTAGACTGCTTTGTTGAGCAGAAATTAAAATACCCAATATAAAGCTAGAGGAAGCCTTGGAAGTATATTGGCAGACCAGAAAAGTATCACCACACATTAGATTTCATACAAGGCACGAGCTGTAGACATGATCACCACATTATTCACAGAAATTGCAGTCAGTGTATCAGTAGAATCCTGCCTCCTGGGTGTTCAGGATGGAAGAGTTGAATTAAACCTCTTAGAATCATCTAATGGCCAATTCTTCGCAAAAACATTTGAAACTAAGCTCCTGCGTAAAGAATTCTTAGTTGGGGCTTTTCTCAGTGAACATGAATCCAGATTTTACAGTCGTGAGCAAAAGGAGTTGGAACAAGCCACTGGGCTAAGGATCAATACATGTGGGATAGTTGCAATTGAAACAAAACTATCAAGACTGATAAACATTTTGTGCTGTTGTCAAGCCATAAAGTTATCCAAGTTAGGGGATTCATTCCATACTTTGACTGCAGAAACAAAGTAGTAAAAAAGGCTTTTCTCAGGAGCAATTGGATTGTAAAGCTCATCTCTGCTGGCCACAGCTGATGAAACTTCCTCCCATCTCTCTGAAATCATGTTTGCGGTACATTCCAAAACAGAAGGAAGAGGAAATGCCCAAAGCCAGGAGAATGATAAACTTCAAGCCTAGATAATTATAAATCATAGGGATTCATCAAGATGACAGAAACTATGTTGAATTCACTTGTGGATCTCAGCACTGACGCAACAAACAGCAAACTTAGGAGTCTGAAACAAAATCTTTGCCCTAAAATAGGATGGTTTCTGCATTAGAACAATTCCTTTAATGCGTCATTTTGAAGATTGAGAAAAACTACACAATTTTCATTTATACCTGGTGGAAGGTCAAGAAAACTCACAATGTTCCAGAGCTTGGAATGCCATGCAGGTAAAGACGGAAGCAAGAGTTATATCAAGAAAATAAAACACTGCTCTCGCGCTGGGCATGCACCCAAGTCAAAAAACATTGAGACAGACTCAAATCTAAGACGTTGTTGGAAAGTTGTAACCGTAAAAGGAATCAACAAGATTCAAAGTGATGAGTTGAGAACGTTGCAACAAAAACAATGAGATACTGATGTTAACAAGAGAAAAGAAACTTGGGGTAGGTTTGTCATACACCGCTTGTATAAAATGGGAAAATGTGATGGCTCTAAGAAGGCTACCATGAGAGAAACTTTTAAAGGGACACTTTCTTATTATTTCTTCCTGGACTGCACTTGGAGGGTAAAAAAGTAAGGAGTTTTAGTGGTGTAAGATATTATTGGGAGTCTTTCACATTTATATAAAAATACATGTGTGGTGGAGGGCAGGGCATAATTACATATGACATTTATTTAACAGCTTCTATTAATCAGGACTTAGTCCAAAAAGAATTGTTCAAATTACACCCAAAATCTTTTGTTATTTCCTTCTTTATTTACTAAACAAGAATCTCAGGGCAAGCATCTCGTTTGAGCTATTGGAGATTTAAGTGAAGCTTATAATTTTTTCTCCCAAAGGAGAGTTTCCTCCATATTGATAATTTTAATTAGGAATACCGGCATTAGTATATTATGGGGTAGGGGGAAAGCACAAGATTTACAACTTGGGTAGGTAAAAGGAAAAATAAAATAGCAAAAATAAGGAATAATAAAAGGGGAAACTTGTGCTTTATACCAGGCTTGCATTAGAAATTCTGATAAAACAAATATTTGTCACAAAATTAAACACCACATTAAAAAATACAAACAAATAAAGAAAGTACCTGGTTGAACCACATTAAAGACATGTTTAACCTGAATATCAAATTATATGCAAAGTGTTACCTTTTGCACAAACTTTTCCACGCTCTGTACCACATGTTTGTAGAACTGTAATGGAACACATATAAACAATTAGGAACAAGATAAACAGAGCGGAGTCAAAGTCTGTAAAAAGGCTAAACCGTCTCAGGCACCAGTGGTGAGAAATTTCTGAAAGTTCCATGGGAACTATCCCAATCAGAGAAATCTGTGGCTATTTTGACCATTTCATCTATTTCATATTCACAGTACGATACCATTTTTCAATTGAAAAGATAAATTTCCCTTTGGAACTCCATCCCACAGTCCCTTTGCCTCGCTCCCTCCCTTGCCTCCTTCAAGGCACGTCTCAACACCTTCCTCAACCGCGCCTTCGGCCACCCGCTTACCCCTACCCTCCAGCCCTCCTGATCCTAAACCCCTGCTTGGGTCCAAATTCCTGACTGTCCAGCGCCTTGGGACGTCCTAGCGACATGAAAGGTGCTGTACAAATGCAATGTGTTATTGTTGAATTAAGCTACGTGGTAGCCTATGGCGTAACAGCACAAAACCATGCACAGCAAAAAGTTGCAAACTTCAATCCCAGTCCGTGATAATTAGCTATTTTAATCATACAGGTTCACTTTTCTTTATAAAAATGTATTGGCATAGTATAACATTTCTATTGAATATTATGTTGTTTCATCTCAAAACAAGAGAACTATTAAGTTTAACATTTACCTTAATAGCCTTGATAGCCGCCTTGGTCACCTGGTTCATTTTAGCTCTGGAGATAGGTGGTTTGTACTCATTTAATGAGTAAAGCTATTTAAAGAAAGACAAGAATTAATTGTAACAACATGCAACTTTTTTTTCACAAATGTTTACAAACAAATTGCCTCTGCTTTTCGATCGACTCTAGTGTTTCCATATGTATGAGGTTGCTTGCACTTTTCTGTAAATAATTACTAAAGGTACAAGAAAATAAACAAAGTAATGTGGATAATAATAATCACTGCATTTGATACAGTGCCTTATCACATCTTTGAGACGTCTCAAAACTACAGAATATACAGTTAAGTGAATTAACTGCACAATTTGTGGGTCAAATGGGGTAGCCAATTGCACACAGCGTGGGTTGAATGACCAAATTATTATTTAATTATTTTGAAGGGATTATTGCCCCGGAAAAGCGATCCGCCAATCGACTGATAACCGGTTTTCTTCTTACTGCTAGGTATGCAGAGGCGTGTGGAGTAAGGAAACTTGCCTAACGTTCCGCTCAGCCCAGAAATCAAACTCAGTTCTTTTTGCTTATGAGGCAAGTGCTCTAACGAACACCTTACAGGATTACTAATTTTAAAGCAGACAGTATAGTCCACAAATAAATGGTTAACAATCAGAATGCATATATATGTAACCAAGCAACATATGCCAATTGTTAACGAATGCAGAAGTGGTTAATAAAGATAGTGTATATCAACTACAGAATTGATTCATCATTAAACTCCTGATAACTTGTCATCTAAGGGAAAAGGTGATGAGTTACTCGGTGTGGTAAGCTATAATATGAATTCTTTGCAGATCAACTTCAAGATCCTCACACTCATGTTCAAATTCCTTCACTCCCTGGCACATTCTCACTCCCCAATCCACCACCTCCGCTCGACTTGCACCGGCCTCCTGCTTGTCCCTCGCGCCCTCCACCATTGGAGCCACTACGCCCCGAAACTCTGGACCACTCTCCCTCAATCCCTGCAGCTTGCCCCCTCCCTCCCCTTTTTCAAGTCCCACCCGAAATCCTTCCTTTTCGACTGTGCTTATGGTCACCTCCCCCCCCAACAGGCTCAACCCATAGTTAAGTGCTCTGAGATGCTACCCTGTGTGGAGGGCGCTATTTAAGTGCAATTTGTTGTTGTTTGATATAGCACCCTATCATGTCTTTGAGACATTTCCAAGCTTCGAGTTGGGCATATGTATAAATACATAAATAAATATGGCCGAGCTATTGACAGCATGATGATTTAAGTGTTAATGATAAGTTTCACCTGGGTCGAATTATGAGGAGTTTTACTGTAATTTCATTGTTTCTCACAGTTTATATTTTGCTTTCTGTTGACATGAGGAAAATACACAAAAATAGGTATAGTCAACACAGAATATTTGAACACACAAATTATTCTAGTTCACTTACATGATGTCTTTCAAAATCATTCTCAACCTCCATTGAATATATTTATGTTTTTTTTTAAAAAAAGGGCAGCATAAAGCAATTTTTTTCTCTGCAACAAATACTACATTTCTACTTTTCAGGCTGGCGGTATAATTACTGAAACTTTGCTTGTGCAGATCAGACTCAGGTTTAGAAACATTGTGACCAACTCTCTTTCTCAATACCATTGCATTTCAACTAAGTTTGTTCAATAATAATCCTTGCATTTGATATAGTGCATCATCACGTCTTCGAGACATCTTAAAGCGCTTCAACGAACAAGTTGTGAAATAAATTGACTGTATATTTTTTGGGCGAAACGCGGCAGCTAATTGCGCATAGCAGTTCCACAGTCATGGATTGAGTGCCCATTTTAGGGCCTGCACAGAGAGATACCCATGATATAGTAGACTTGGTTTACGTGTACGTTCAAGCTCTAACACAAACTAATCTTATTTTCAGTAAAATCACTCCCTATTTTGGCATACTGTGACTGCTGATTTATTTAAATGCAGGTAGCTCTTTATTGTGATTTATGCCCATTAGAAACTGGATTGAGGTCATCCAAACTGTCTGATGGATACTATATCAAGGCAAGTTGTTGTTGTAGTGTTTGCTAAATTAATAATCCTTACAAATCCCATTAATAGACTTGTTCAGTAGTCTACAAGTTAAACCTGCTTAATGTGGATTTCACCTCATTTTTATTCAAGTTGTCAATATTTCACTGATCACTATTTCCTTCTGGATAACTCCTGATTCCTTTCCCCTGCCCAAAAGAAATATAATAAATAATAATTACATTTGACATAATGCCTTAACACATTTGTCGAAATGTCTCAAAGCAAGAGCCACAAGATTTACTATAAAAATGTAGTGATTGTATGTAATAGGTGAATGCAGCAGCCAATTTGTGCACTGCAAATCTTCGAAACAGTCATGAAGTGAATAACCAGTTTTATCTGGGGGACTGTTAGTCTGACACTTCCTTCTGTTTTCTGATAGTCCCATAGTCTTTAACGTTCACCGTAAAAGGCAAACAAGGCTGTGATCATTCAAAGGCAGCACCTGACAATGCAGTGCTCCCCTAGTACTGATTGGAGTGGAGTTTAAAGTCCCAATGGGTGGCTTCAACCCACAACCTTCTGACTCATAAGCAACAATACAACCAAGGAAGCCATATAAAGGAAGTGAAAAGGATGTGAAAACCCTGGACCACTCGAAGTAAGCACATAGTACTTTCCAAGGTGTGTCCTTTTGCATATTTTCCAACACAGAAACTATGGTGATAATTCTGGGCTACTAATCTCTTTCCTTGTCGACTGTGCAAAACGATCCAGTACAAACTCAGTAGTCAGTAAGATACCAAAGGGAATTGCCAGATTTTAGGCGAATACACCAGGAACTGGACTTCAGTTCACTGTAGAAAGGCCATGAGCAGAAAGCAGCAGTTGGGAGAGAGAGAATGAATTGATTTTTTTTCTGTTGAGTTCAAAACAAGGAGAAATATTTGCAAGGACACGGAACATACTCCTTGTTAACATAATAATACAAATACTAGACCCAGTTTCCTTTATTTAATATTCCATTGGAAAGACACTACCTGAAACAATGCAGTGCTAACTTTGTGGTTCAGTTGTTAACAACCTGCTCTAAATCAGAAGGTTGTGGGTTGAAGCCCCACATGAGGTCTTGGAACCCAAATAGTCTATGCTGACAGTCCAAGGCAGTATTGAGGGTGTGCTGCATTGTCGAAGATACTGTCCTTAATCTGAGGTACTTCACTTTTCCAATATTGCCATGGAAACTTTAATATCCTTTCAGGTGGACATTAAAGATTCCATGGCACTGTTGGAAAAGTAAGCAGTCACAGAGATGGAGGGCTCCACCTGATAATAAACTGTCAACAAATAAACACTACAAAGGAATACTCTGGTTAGAGGCTGAATGCAAAACTTCTGCTGAAGCTTCACACCTCCAACTGGCAGCGTCACTGTTACAGGGTAACACTGTTTCAGGGAACGGTTACAGTATACCACATGTTTGGATTTTGTCTGGAGTGCAATGCACACTCTATATCCAGAAGGGTGTACCTTGCTTAACTAATTCAGGAAAGTATTAGGCGCAGGTTGGCAAGAGCCAACGTTTGGGAGAATGTGCATTGCGGTACTACATAGCACTATGTGCACGTATGCTGCTCATCATACTGCTCGGGACGAATACCAACCACCCGTCTAGCAAAAGCTAAAACCCACACTTATAAACTATCTTGTGACTAACATTTTATTACATAATAATCCTTGCAATTGATATAGCCCCTTATTATTCAGTTTTACAAGTGTACAAATCAACAGTGATTGGAATTTTCAAACCACGCTTGCTTACAACTTTGGTAAGTAACATAATATTTGGTAGAGTTATGGCCAATTATAATTTAACTATTAAGCTCCCTTCTCTTCCCTTCACCTCTATTTCTTGTGTCACTTTTCTACTCTTGAAACCTCTCCAGGTTATGCACTTGGTCATGGATAAGAAGGGCAGCTGACCTGTTCCCATCTCTTTCAATACTGTTATATAATGATAGTAGTCTGAAGTTCAAATTTTCTCACTCTTCTTATGGAAGGGCAACCTCCTAAAACAATGTACTCTCTCTCCTTACCCAGACTCCTATGCCTTCTTGTTCCCTTGAACTCTTCTGCTTTGAACACTGTTGACCTCATTGATGACCTCTCCGCTCTCTGTGGCACTACTCTCTCTTAGTTCCAATGCTCCTGGCCCATCACCCTAACTTGTTCTTCTCCCATCCTCTCTTGGTCACCTGTGGTATGTCTCAGGCCTCTATTCTTTGGCAATATCATCCATATACATGGGGCTAACTTCCACAGGAATGCAGATGATTCTCAAATATAATTTTCCACATTCGCTCTCGATTCCACATCTACTGATATAATCCCTGGTTTACCCGCCAGTTATCAAGGCCTGGATGATCCACAATTTCTTGCAGTTTAGCACGGACAAAATGGAAGTCATCCTCCTCAGGTCCTGCCAACGTCACCTCAAATACAAAAAAGCAATATACCCTATTTAAACACCTATCTGTTCTCCAGACTCTTTGCACCATTGTCTTGCGTGCACTCCTTCTGACCCAGCTATATTATTTTCCCTTTAACAGACAATTTGTCTCCCCAGCTGCAAGTGTGCTATTTCCAAGTATAAACTTCATTGAAACCTGGGCTGAATCTCACAAAAAATGGTATTTTATAATATTAAGAGATGTTTAATGTCGAAAGAGATACTTGCAAAATGACACACTGTACCTACACATATCTCAAGCAATTTCACCCACAAAATATACAGTCAAATCACTTTATAGTATATTTTGTGAAGCACTTTGAGACATTGCGAAGTAGATGTGGAATCGAGAGTGAAGGTGGGAAATTTATACTTGAGAATCATCAAATGCAAGGATTATTATTATGCATAATACACTTATTTTAAATGAATAAATTTACCATCTCAAAAAAACATTTACAAAATTATTCCACAGAACCATGGCCTTCTCCATTTCAATGAATTAAACATACATTTAGTTAATACAGAACAAGTTATATCA